ATGATATTAAACAGTGAAAACAAAGCCAAATATGTTTCAAACTAGCAAGGTATTCACCCAAGTCATTATTCCATCATAGTTCACAAAATGCATCAGATAACATTCCAGAAGTAAGCACTTATATAAACATTTAAAAGGACAACATATAGGTTTAGTGCAGGTTCAAGGACAACATAAAGAGTAGTAGTTTATTCTTGAAACTTAAATTAGCAACAATGTAAAGTTAGTATTTGTCTTTGTTTTTTGGTTAAAGAAATGCAATTCATTCAAGTTTCAATTTGCACAATAAAAGAAGTTTCTGAAACTTAAATTCGCAACGCGAAAATAAAAATCGCAACGCGGTTTTAGTTTCACGTTGCGATTTTCATTTTCGCGTTGCGAATTTGGTGTTGTGATTTAGGGTTTCTTCAACAAAAAGACAAAACAAAGACAAATACTAACTTCACAGGGTTAAAGACTAAACAGTTTAGCAGTATTGGCAGCAACCAAATGAATTTAGCAATCTCAGTGAAATGGTTAATCTAATAATAATACAAAAATTTCAAAATAAAAATAATTAAAAAACTAACCCTCGGTGGTTGATTTTCTATTTCTGACTGTGAATGGTTGTGAGGGTTGCTCTGAGAGATGGAGATAGATGGATTTCGTTGGAAATGGGGACGGATTTTGTCGGAGATGGTGACGGATGTCGCCGTAGAGAGTGAGAGATGGAGATGGGACTGAGTTGTGCTTTAGGGTTTTAGGTTAGAGATGATTTGTGATAATATTGTTTACATTTGTGTTGCGAAATTAATATTGTGTTTTGCGTAAAAACATTTGACTTTCGCGTTGCGAATTTGACTATCGCGTTGCGAATTTGGAAAATCGCAATGCGATTTGCATATTCGCGTTGCGAATTTGTTGGTCATTTTGGCAAATCCAAAAAAAGTTGGTTAAATTCGTATATTATAAGGCATTTTTTGTCACTGAGGTTATTTTCTCTATACAAAACTGAGCAAAAGTCTTAAATTTCGCTTCTAAATACTAGGATTATGGAGATTCAGAACCAATAATCAACTTTTTAAAATTTTAAATTATAACTTAAACATTAGGATTCTAATTGGTTTTTGAATTTTCTGGGTTTTTAATTCCGATCTTAATAAAAGAATCAATTAAATGCTTTTATCACGTTATCTACAATAAATTATTATATTAGTATCGTGGATTATATATTATATCGTCACAATTAATAATTGTTTCATTGATCAAACAATTAATTTAAATTTTTAAATTTAAGAAATCATGCTAAATACAAAAATAAGTTTAAAATTTATATTAATTCTTTTAAAGAAATTGAGTACCTTCACTATCATTAAACCTGTAATTTACTTACTAGCGGGGAATATCTTAGGAAAGGCGGGCTAATATACGGCGTTACCAGATACATTAAAATATATTTAACAAATTCGGTTTAGCGCTACCGGAAATGTTGAGAAATAATAATGTTGTAGGTCTAAGTCATAAAGAAATATTAAAACATTTGGCAACCGGAAAACTTAACTTGTCAGTTTGTGTCGATCCAAATTAAAAATGTATCGATCCGTATCAATATAACAGGTAAAAATATCGATAAAATCGGTCACGAAAAGACAATACCGGTAAATCCTTACCATATATATTGAACTTATCGATACTTTAATATAAGGATCGACACTTTGTGAATTTAAAAGAGAAGCAATTTTAACGCCTATAAAGTGTCGATACTTTATAAAAATGTATTGATCCACAATGATATAACAGGTAAAAATATGACAAAACCGGTATCAAAATGATAAAACCGGTAAAGAGCTATCGGATATATTTAAAGTGTCGGTACTTTAATATAAGTATCGACACTTTGTGAATTTAAAAGAGAAGCAGTTTTAGCGCCTATAAAGTGTCGATACTTTATAAAAATGTATCGATCCACAACGATATAACATGTAAAAATATGATAAAACCGGTATCAAAATATGATAAAACTGGTATCAAAATGATAAAACCGGTAAAGCGCTACCGGATATATTGAAAGTGTCGATACTTTCATAAGTACGTGTGATAAATTATCGATATTTTCAAAGAAATAGGTAATTATCCTATCGAAAGTATCGATACCTGACATAAAAGTATCGATACTTTGGTAGTTGTATCGATTAAATATAAATAACATATCCGATGAAAATATAAAGGTCATAGCTAAATATCCTCTGAAAATAGATAGAACGGACGAGTTTTTGAAATCGAAGCGTAATTGTTGCTGCATTTCAGAATGTGTTTCTAAAGCGAAGTTTGTTTGTTTGTTGTTGCACTCGAATCGAAAAGTATGTTGTCGAAACCTTAGTTTTTTATTATTACAGTAATCTCAAATAGGGTTTTTATGTGTTGTTTGGGGTTTTGGAGTAAAGAAATATTTGGGACCGATTACAGGTAGAAAGTGATATTCAAGGTAAAATATAAATGTCGATACTTTTATTAAATATTATAGGTAGAAATGATATTATAGGTTGTATAAATGTGCCGCCACATTTTGAAGTAGCCATTCAAATTCTTTTAAAGAAAACCGTTTTACCACAAGAGTAATTATCTATATTTGTATATTGAATAAAGTGTATGTAACAAGTATTTGATTTGATTTGTGTAAACTGATATATGAAGGAAAAATGGAGTCAATGGGTGGAAAAATTGTTGGTAGCGCATATGACTTTAAATTTGAGGCCGAGACTTGAAAGCAACCAAAGGGTTGATATATGTACTTCTAGTAAGTATCAATGTCTTTTGTTATTATTGTTGAAATGGTAATTGGATTAAAGTATTTAAAAACTTTAAATTGATTACAAATTTTAAATGTTGACAGTATGGTCGAATGCAAAAGGATGAAGGAAGATGGCACACAGAGCGGTTCGATATATAAAATGAAATTGACATTGAGTATTATTTAGTGTTAATGCATTGATTAAGAAATTTATGCTTAATATTAAGTGACAAAAGATGTGAGGTCCAAATGGAATTCGATGAGTGATGCTGAAAAGGAACCTTACATCACACAGTCAATGAATGATTGTAAAGAATACAAAGAACGGAGGAAAACACATGAAAATAAGGTATTCATTAAACTTGTAAATATGTTGATACAAAATATATAAGAACTATAACATTATATATTGTTAAAAAATGTAGGAAGTGTCGACAATGTGCATCATTAAAAGGGTGAATTCATTAATTAAACACCTTAAGGAGAAGGGTCAGTTGAATGTGGTGAGAGAAATAGGTTTTGGATCGTTGGTAGAAGTAAGGGATCGACCTATTCGGAGGGAATTGTGTCGATCATTGATGGCGCAATTTGATGTCAAACAATGTATTGCTAAGTATGGTGATTTTCATTTCCTCTCGGGATCTCATATGCTGCAGCCGTATTGGGGGTAGAAAATGAAGGCAAAAGTGTTGTAGAAGTTTGTAAGAGTAAGGACTGGAAAACACTTGCCTCCAAATATGGTTTGAAGCAAAAGGTGACATATGCTGAAATTGAAGAGGAAATCAAAAGTGGATCTTACGGGGGGGATGAGCTGAAGGTCAGAGTTCTATTGTACCTTGTCGGTATCTTTCTTTGTCCAACGGGTGATATGTCAACGAACAAGGACTACATGAAGCTCATTTGCGATGAAGGCTTGAAGGGTGAATTCAATTGGGCTGAATATGTCCATTAGAGATTGACTGAATCAATAATCACCTTTAAAAAGGGCAACCAGAGATACCTCAAAGGGTGAATAACAATCTTAGAGGTAAATAAGTTGAAGAACTTTTTTGTGTTTTTATATAAAATGATAGTATAGTTATTATATAAAATTATAAATTTTATTATAAATGCAGGTTGCACTATTTGATTTTTGGTCGGGCTGTGAGGCAGTGCCGGCTTATGAAAGAACCGGAGTGGCACGCATCCGTGCATGGGGGAAGAAAGAAGTGGTTAGAGTGATGGCGAAGTTGAAGTTGGATAGACCGAGGAAGCAAGAAAGGGTAATAAATATAATTAAATAATATTAAGAATATAATAAATGTCTTAATATTGTAATTTAATTTTGAAGGTTATTGGCAAGGAGATAGAGGAAGCAGAGGAGAAGAAATAAGAGATGGTTGTAGGATGACGGTGAGGGAAAACAGAGTAACTTCGACATTTTGATGTCTGAATTGGCTGATATCAAAAAAATCCAATTTGATATCATGCAAAGACAATCAAGAGTCGAAGAGAAACTTGAGAGAGTCGAAGAGAAACTTGAGAGAGTCAAAGATACACTTGAGAGGCATAAAGGGGAAGTGGAAGGAAAAATAGATGGAGTGATGAAAGAAGTAGAGGTGTTGAGGGGTAAAGTGGTGAAAGAAGTTGAGGTGTTAAGGGGTGATCTTAAGATGGTGACGAGTGAAAATTTTGATAGAGTGATGAAGGAGGTTGTGGAATTGAGGAGTGAACTTACGGGGGTGAAGGGGGTGGTTGATCAATACTTGGATGAAGGATATCAATTGAAGGGTGAAAAATGCGATGAATTGAAAAAATATAAAGAAGAAAAGATGGAGGAGGAAGAAGAAAAGATAGAAGAAATGAGAAGGAATGAAGTCGATGTCATTTATACACCGGAGTGTGTTATAGCAGCAGATTTGGATTCGGAATGTCCTGCACCCCAGAAGAAGAAGCAAAAGGTAAGTTGAATAAAAGAAAACTTAATTTGATTTTTATCATGTTGTTGTGATAAAAATTTGTATGCAAAATTGTAGGTTGAAAAAACGAATATTCCAAGCGGAATTGATGACATCGAAGCTACAATTTGTGATTATTTATGGAATAGTGAGTTAGAATCGGGGTAAGTGAAATATATTGCTTTGTGAGTGATATTTAAATATTTCATGACAACCTATTAATCCTAATGATTCATACAGATATTATATAATCTCATTGGGAAATCAATTCGTTAGTGTATACGACGTTGTAACGTTGAAGCCTACGGAATGGGTTGGCGGTGTGGTAAGTAAAAAGTAGAAAATGTTAAAACTTATTGAATATGTTCTGATTGTGTAATTAATTTTGTTAGGTTATTGATTTGCTCGCCTGAACAGTATGCTACGATTATCAAAAATCACTCCGGAGGATTGACTACTTTCCATACCTCTTAGCAGTAAGTTAAATTAATAAATGTTGAAAAGTAGTGTTATAGATGGTAAATTAATAATGTTTGTTGTGTAATTGCAGCAACAGGCGTTGGATGCCAACAACAAAGAAAGTGTTGAGAGTATTGCTACCTTTTGGGGTCCCATATTGAATAACTATGTGAAATTCACCGACTGTGAGAAGGTAAGACACCATACCAATTGCAAATGATGTTTTCGGATATAGAATGTTGAATTTTGTCAAATTGGGTGTGAAATTTGTTGCAGATCATGATCACAATAAACTACCATAATTCACATTGGTATCTGTTGGTGTTGGATATGGTAGATCGTGTTGCAACAATATATGATAGTATGTTTACATCTGAAGCAGCTAAACAGAGAGTGAAGGATGCTAAGAGATTGGTATGTATGTATGAAAGAACATTATGTAAATTATAATGCATACTTTTTTTTGGATCATAACTTCTTTTTTTAATGCAGATTAAAATATTAGAATTTTATAATAAGAAACGAATTTGGGTTGAATATTGTGGATCTATAGGAAAGTTCCCCTTGAAAAATTTCAAATTTGTGGAGCATAAGATGAATAAGCAATTGAATGGGTATGAGATGTTATCATAAATAGAAAGCTTAATATATGCAGGATTCATAATTGACATGTGTGGTTTTCAAATTTTGTAACAGATATGATTGAGGCATGTATGTGATGGTGTGGATGAAATCGATCGGTTCTACAGGGGCAACTGGTGATTTTGTAAGTGGAATTAAAAATTTGTTTGTGGTAAAAATTGTTAAAAGTCGTAGATTGAATACTGTGGTTTACAATACTTAACATTCTGACAATTTGAATATAGGTTGTTGGAGAGTGGGATCGATCGCGAATATTAAACGATCTCGTAAGCCACAATAAAAATCAACGAAGACATGAGATAACAAAAGTTGCCATGAGACACAAGAATAACAAAAGGATGCAATGATGTAAATGTAGGGTTAATTTTTTATAAGATTTATAATTTTGTATAAGATTTATAATTTTGTATGTGAGTATAATTATGTATGAGATGAGAAAAGATAGCAGTAGGTTGTTGTACATTTTCTTATACACATTAAGAGTCATGTTGATACGTACGATATATGGAGATTGTTGTAAAAGATAAATTTACAATGTAGTTGGTAAAAATAGACTTTTTACTGAAAAATTAATAAACACTGATTTGTTTCCAACATTTTGTCCAGTATGATTCCCAAACGTTAAGTTTCCAAAAAATAAGTCAGTATATGTGTAATGTAATAGCTAAACTTTATCGATCCCAGAAACATATGCATCTATAAGTATAATGTAATAGGTAAATTTTCAATGTAACTGGTAAAATATACGGTTTTATAAGAGATTAGGTCTACAACATGTATCGACACTTTTTTAATTTTGTGTCGCTAGTTTTGGTCCAGAATGAATGCCAAAAAAGGTGCAACCATAAAGTGTCGATACATTTATAAAAAGTATCGATCCCAGAAACTTATGCATCTATAAGTATAATGTAATAGGTAAATTTTCAATGTAACCGGTATAAATATACCGGTTTTATGAGAGAATAGGTCTACAATATGTATCGACACTTTTTTAATTTTGTGTCGATACTAATTTAAATATCGCGTGTTTTCCCCCTTCATTATTTATTCGATACAAACTCCAAATCGATAAACCCTAAACCTAAAGGCTTCTGAACTCTTTCTCTCCGACGAATACTAGCGTTATCATAACAGTGACGATCAGATATTTAGGTAAATTTATCGATATTTTATGGGTTTGATTGATTTCTATATTGGAGTTTTTTGTCTTGAATGTGTTTGTTTTCCATTGTAATAGTATCGGAAACTATTGCAGAGGGTCTAGGTGTCGAGAATAAAGGGGATTCAGATGAAAATAATTTAGATACTACAATACAACGGGTTGCTAGAAATAACCCAATTTACCTAGATGTAGAGTGAAGAGTGTTTCACAAAATGCTCATATGGTATATCCGACCTAATGGAGGAAAACATTCAACGCTTTGAGACAGCGATTATTGGTGGATAGCAAAGTATAAATCCAAATCCAAAACGGCTCCAAACATTGCTAAACTGATATTTAATACAATTGTATATATGGTCACAAAGGGAGAAACAATTTCAACTTCACTATCATATGGATGTGTCATCACCCATCTGTTGAAGAAGAAAAAAGTTGATTTTTCGCATGACGCCCCTGTTCGATTAACCCGCAAGATTGACATGTTATTTATTAAAAAAACGGGATATGATTTTGTTGAAAAACTCGGTTGGAAGCATGTCAAGGAGGTCGAATTAGATCAAGAGAGGGAGGAAATTGACCCCATTGACCATGAAGACGAGCAACCAATTGGAAACATATAATGGAAGAAGCTCCAGTTGGAGAGGATGTCACAATTAAGACAGTGATGGAATACATGGTCAATTTTCGGGAGCATATTGATTCCTTATGAGTGGAATGCGAGCCGATATTTCATCATTGCATGATTAAGTCTCCATGTTGTGTGACGAATTACGTCAATGACATCAAACGAGTTAGGTAATTCATTATTTATGTTTCTAAATATTTACACGTTATGAAATGTATTTTATTTTCTTTTAACAGATGTGGACAACCAAGCGGTCAATGAAGATGACGATGAAGATGAAGATGACAATGATGATTATGATGATGATCCAAACAAGTATATCGTGTCTGCAACGCCGCCTTCAAGAAAACTTTTAATTTTTTATCTCAATGGTGTCCTTGCCTACTCCCAAGACTACCTGCAGGTTTTAATTCTGGTCTTTTGTATCCATTATTTTAACATATAAGCATAGAACTTTAATCTCATTTTCTTCATGTTGTAGATGTTTTCCTCAGAACATGATTATTTGAATTTATACAATTTTGTGTAGACAATTTTGTTATTGCCATTTGGTCTTCCAAGATGAGGTTAGAACTGTTGAGAAATTGAATTACTGTAGCCAAAATCGTTAATATACAATTGAATGTTAACATTCAAACTTGATTACAATCTCAGGCATAACGTCGACCGTGTACTTGAGAAACTACATTTATTTTCTGAGCATTTTCTATTCGTTCGGGTAAGATGAATGTCATTACAGTTTGCTGATTTTTCTTTGTCTATGATTCCTACATATTTATGTTCGACTGTTTGTGAACATGATCAAGAAAAATGCAAAACATACGATAATGTTACCTACTGTAAAGATCTCAATGATGTTTGGAACGCGTGTCCTGATTTTAACGAGCTAAATACACTTTTGGTCGATGATTCAGCGAAAAAAATGATTTATAATCCGGTAAGTTGCATTTATGCAATATATTTTTCCAGTTAAACAGGTGTTCATACATTGATTATTTTAACAATTTATGTGTTTATATAGAAATACAATTTATGTGCTCTAGGTATGACACAAATTTATTCATGCTTATGCGAATTTAATTTATTGTTAGTAAAATTGCACCTCATTAGTTTGATAATTAAAATTATTTATGTATGTCCTCAGAAAAAGGCGGAAACATACGAGTGTATTTGGAAAATTTGTTGAAGACGCCTAATGTTCCGAACTTCGTTAGAAATAACCCTTTTTCATCTGATTAATTTCGTTGTCGGTACATTATTTGAACATTGTTGTGTATGTATCTTTTGGTTTGATTATATTGTGTGTATATTTTCATTAATTATTCCATATTTGTTTCTCTGTATACAGATACATTTGAGGATTGTTGAAATATCAATACTAGTTATTAATGTATTTTACATCTGCTTGCAAATGTATCGAAACACATTATTAAAGAATTGTTTTCTATGATCTCCACAATAAAGTTTTTATACTTAGAAATATCGGTATATTTATAATCGTTTTCTATAATGTATCCAAACTTAAAGTTTCTCATAAAGTGTCAATCCATATATAAAAAGTAACGACCCAAAAAACATCGAAACCCATAATTATATTGTAATGGTAATTTTTCAATGTAACCGGTATAAATATACCGGTTTTATGAAAAATATATCTACAACATTTATTGACACTTATTAGTATTGTGTCGATACTTTTGTCCAGAATGGATGCCAAAAAGGGTGAACCTACAAAGTGTCGATACATTTTCATAGAGTGTCGATCCAAAAGGGTTGCACGCATAAAGTTTCGATACATTTATTAAAAGTGTCGATCGCAAAAACATCGAAATCCATAATTATAATGTAATAGGTAATTTTGTAATATAACCGGTATACATATACCGGTTTTATGAGAGAATAGGTCTATAATATGTATCGACACTTTTTAATATTGTGTCGATAATTTTTGTCCAGAATGGATGTCAAAAAGGGTGAACGCATAAAGTGTCGATACATTTTCAAGCAGTGTCGATCCCAAAAACATCGAAACTCATAATTATAATGTAATAGGTAAATTTACAATGTAACCGGTATAAATATACCTGTTTTATGAGAGAATATGTCTATAACATGTAGCGACACTTGTTAAATTTGTGTCGATACTTTTTTCCAGAATGTATGCCAAAAAGGATTAACGCACAAAGTGTCGATACATTTATTAAAAGTATCGATACCGAAAATATCGAAATGAAATAGGTAATTTTGTAATATAACCGGTATAAATATACCAATTTTATGAGAGAATATGTCTACAACATGTATCGACACTTTGTAAATAAACCCCAGGTTTTATTGGCTATGCTGTCAACATGATTAACCTGGATAATCCCAATTACAGAACTGATTCCGGCCATGATTGCGGGAGACTATACTCTACAGATTGTTTAGCATTTATGTGATGATGCAGATGAAATATTAAATGGTCTCGTAATCTACAATAAAAATAGACTAAGAGAGTAAATTTTGTAAATATAGGGTTAATTTTGTATAATTTACATTATACTCAAACTGAATTTGACTTGAGGACATGTTAGTTTGTTATGTCCCTCACCGTTGCAGTACCCACATCTCCTAATTATCTTCTCGACCTTGTTCTTCGGTACTTCTTTTTGCTTGAGTTGTTTTCGTTGAGGGTCACGAACGTTGTTTACTA